TCCAACAAATTATCAGGAGAGATCCCACAACCAATCTGCACCCTCACAAATCTGCAGATGCTCGACATGTCCAGCAATCATCTTACTGGTACAATTCCGGCCGCACTAAACAATCTGCACTTTCTTTTCAAATTCAATGTTTCTAATAATGACCTCGAAGGCCCTATTCCAACCGCAGGCCAGCTTAGCACGTTTCCAGATTCTAGCTTTGATGAAAACCCAAAATTGTGTGGTCCTTCGATTGTAAACCATTGCGGTTCAGCGGAAGCAAGTCCAGGGTCCATCAACTCCAGAGAAGAGATTGGCAGTAAGGTCATCTTTGCAATCGCCTTTGGTGCTTTCTTTGCAGTAGGAGTCATATATGATCAGATGGTCTTAGCCGGATATTTTGGCTAAAACCTTGTAACTGTTATCACTGCCCAAACCGTTACATGATCTCAAGTGGTTCCCAGTTCAGCAAGACCATGTCAGTGGCTCCAGCCCCAGCAAGAACAACATCTCTTGTAAACCTGCTATCGTCAGTTAGTGACGTTCATCGTTGTACTCCATTTAGCAGAAACATGATTAACGAGTGAGCAATGTCAACAGTGTGTAAGCATATTATTATTGTGGAATGTGTAACTATTTGTTCAGTATTTACTTTGATACATACGCATGCAGTGATGAATGTTTCTCTTGGAGAAAGTTGACTAGAGGAGGACACATAATAAGAAAAAGCAATCTGCAGTCTGGCACACTCAAATCTGTAACTATTTGCAGTCTAGCAATCTGTAACTCCAAGTCTCCAACCCAGGATCGCAAGTATCCACAGAAAACAACACTGGCGCTGAGAGAAAATTCAGAAATGTCAACAAAGCTAGCACTACAATGTGGCACGAATTAAGCACCTGCTCCGTGGTTTCTACAATATACCTCGGCAAAGGGCTCACGTCACGTTCGGCCTTGGTCGAATCTCCGGTCCCCTGCCTGCCTGGCCTCCTCGGACCAGCTGAGGCGGGAGGCGAACCGCCGCACGCCGCCGTAAAGGGTCGCCGCGTGGACGGATTTGAACTTAAAACGAGACTAGCGAACAATTAAACATCAACCAGGCGCCCAAGTATTATTTTTTTCCTCAGACTTCCTTTTTTCAGATATATACCTTTTGAGTGCGCGACACTGGACCTGTTTCCTAGCCTCCGGTGTCCGTCCTCCAGCGAGCTTAGCGAACTCGGAGCAGCCGGCCCACCGCCACGCGGGGTCGCCGGGAGTCGCCGCATCCCCCTCGCCAGAGAGCTCCGGGAGGGGGAGGCTTGGTTCGATTTCTGCCTGGCCACTGGCCACTAGAAGTGGGAGTGCGGCGGTGCGGCCACCCTCGGGACGCCGGCGCACTGAGTTGGGCAGGACTCGACGTTGGGCCGTATGGGGGGCAGTATCTGGGTTGGCTTACAGATAACAGTTTGGGCTGGCTTCATCTTGGGCTTCAAATTGGGTGGGCTTAGAGATGCTTCAATGCCTAAAAAAGAGATAAAATTGTACCTGCTCCTTTTTTTGTGGGAAAGGAACTTTTTTTGTGGGTATTGCCAAGCCAGCATAAAAATATCCAGCCATTATATGTACGATGTTGTAGGAGTGTGACTAACAACATTTGCATGGCAACTTATCTTAGCTAAGCTTATTATTGCACATATTCCTTCTGGTTGTCCACAAATGATCAATTTTGATTTCTAAAAAAAATGATCAGTTTCTGAAAACTTTTTTTTCCTACCAAAAAAAAACTTCTTACAAGCTTTGCAAATGTAGTAGTGTTTTGAGTATACACATACTAATTCTTTTATTTTAATTTTAAACTAATGAAGTGGGTTCCAAGATATGACACAAGTGGGCATTTACACGCAATGATATACACCCCTATAAATATTAAGTGTAGAATGATATACACCCCAAGTGTATTTACGATTGGTTGCCTTGTATTTAGCCGAGCCGAGCTAGAGAGAAGTTGGTATGAACTTTTGCTCGTCCAACTAAAGCTAGTTGCACTGTTGTATGAACTTCTGCAAGTTGACCTAAACTAACTCAATTGTACATATCTTAACCTAGGGACCAAATATGTGCATGTAGAAGTAAAAATAATAATTTAGAATTTCAGTTGATGTCTTGTGTTTCCAGCAAGTGGTTTAGCTGAGAGATTGACAACTCTAGCTAGTAAAAAAATGACAACTCTCGCAATAGATATTGGCAAAGCATGACACTCTCAAGTGAGCTACTCAACTATGCTCAATCCAAATGTGAACAATAAAGAACACTGGAGTACGTAAACACTGGTTATCACAAAACTTGATTCTGAACTAGTACAACACTATAGGCAACATGCTTCCCTTTTAACTCTTACGTACTACCTAGAAAAAGAACACATGCCCACCAAAATTTACATTTTTTTCAGTAACCTTTTAGAAGTTATACTGATAGGTGTTCTGGTCGGTAAGTAATACTGTATTAAATATAATAAATTCAGCAGCGGTCAATTGAGGTTGAGAGAATAAGCTAAATACCTTATTCCATGTGCAAAGGGTTCATCTCTCTACTCGAGATCTGCTTTCCCCATCGGAAGTTCATCTTCAGCCATTTGGTTGTTTTGGGTTATGTTTGATGAGATCATAATCATCAAAGAAAACAACATGACATGTCACAGGGGATTTGGAACTAGATGTCGGATACACATATTAATTATTATATTGGTCTAAATGGGTTGGCCCACAGGTTAAAGGTCATACATGCATCTAACCATGCATTAACCTTTCTGAGGTCCATAAACCAAAAGAAGAGGTACACCTCTTTGTCTAATCCACAAGATTTGCTTTTCTTTACTGTGGTGGGATGTATGAGGGAGACCATGTCACCGAAAAATGCTTTGACTTTTTTTTCGGAGACCCTACCTCTTTTTTATAGGGAGCGGGAACCCTACATCTTTGTCTAACCCACACTATTTGAACCTCAGTCTTGCTGCTTAATTGCTAAAGGCTTACTCTTACTTGTTGGAACCACTATACTTGCGACCATGTCAAAGGCGATCTACTATGCTCACAGACACATATCCATCAACTGACAGTTTGAGGGGTCCGGCTATAGATGCTCTAAGCGTTCATAGACACATGCCCATCAGCTTACGATCTTCTCCTTCCAAGTGGGGAACTGTGACTCTGTGAGGTGGACTTTTTGTACAAAGCAATAAGAATTTGAGGTGGGCTTTTTGTACAAAGCAATAAGAATTCGAGACCCCCACAAAGTCATAAAGTGGTACGCGTGCAGTTGCAATCTTCAAAGTCTGTTGTCATGCTTCTGTACGTCATAATAAACAGAATAATTTGTAAGAGAAGATTGCATCTGAAGTAGGAGCAAACCTTAATAGCATCCACGCTAGATTTAATATGAAATGTTATTACCCACATGTACAATGATCCATGACATATATGCACTCCCATTGAAATACAATGACACTCTACTTGACACCAAATATTATAGCCACTCAACTACCAGCGAGACACCGGTAGTCAACACTCGACTTAACACGGCATATTATTAGCAACTCGGAAAAAAAATTAGGTGGCATCAAAATGACATCAACAAAAATTTCAAATAGAAATATTCAACAAAACTGACAGAATCCGAATGGACAGCTCTTGTTTTTTTTATTTAGGAACTGGTAGTTTAGCATGCTTTCAGAATGGACAGTTTCAGGAAACTGTCAAACAAAAATATTCAGAATGGGCAGTTCCACCACAACACCATGCAGCAACTATTTTTCATATAGCAGGTACACCAAGAAATTTCACATGCCTTCACTTGGCTTGGCTCTCGTGCTGCTGGTCTCTTAGACCAGCTCCTGCACCGAGCAGGAGAAGAGCTCCCTTCTCCAGCTCCTCGCCGGGCTCTCGCAGGACGGCGGCCTCACGACGTCGTGGCGGCACGACACCGTCTGCTGCACATGGGAAGGGATCACCTGCAACCAAGATAGGAAGGTCACTGATGTTTCGTTGGCTTCTCGAGGCCTCGAGGGGCCCATCTCGCCGTTCCTTGGCAACCTCACCGGACTTTTGCGCCTCAACCTTTCCCGGAACTTGCTGTCTGGTGGCTTGCCACTGGAATTAGTGTCATCCAGCAGCATCCTTGTTCTTGACATCAGCTTCAACCGCCTCACAGGAGGCCTGAGCGAGCTGCCATCTTCAACCCCTGCGCGGCCTCTGCAGGTACTCAACATCTCAAGCAACTGGCTTACAGGCATATTACCAATCACAACATGGGAGGTGATGAAGAGCCTGGTCATTCTTAATGCTAGTTCCAACAGATTTACTGGTCAGATACCAACTACACAATGTGTTAGCGCGCCATCTTTTGTTGTGCTTGAGCTCAGTTTCAACCAACTCAGTGGGAACATCCCTCCAGGACTCGGTAATTGCTCGGTGCTGAAATTGATTGGTGTTGGCTACAACAACCTCAATGGCACACTTCCAAATGAACTCTTCAACGTAACCACGTTAGAGCACCTCTCGTTGCCTAACAATAGGTTAGAAGGAGCTCTCGATGGCATTAGCAAGCTCACAAATCTGGTCACCCTTGATCTTGGCGGGAATGAGCTCAGCGGCAATATTCCAGAGTCTATAGGTGATCTGAAGAGATTGGAGGAGCTGCATTTGGAACACAACAACATGTCAGGGGAGCTGCCAGCAGCTCTAGGCAACTGCACAAATCTTGTAACAATTGACCTCAAGGCAAACCAATTTAGCGGAGAACTTACCAAGGTCAACTTCGTAAGCCTGTCCAATCTAAAAAAACTAGATCTTCTTTCCAATAACTTCACCGGCACAGTTCCAGAAAGCATATACTCATGCAGCAAGCTGACGGCACTACGGCTATCTTACAATCCTTTCCATGGTCAATTGTCAGAAAAAATAGGCAATCTGAAGTCCCTCTTATTCCTATCACTTGCTAATAACTCTCTTACAAATATCACAAGAACACTTCAGATGCTTAGCAGTTCCAGGAGCCTCACCACCCTTTATATTGGGTGCAACTTCCTGCATGAGACCATGCCAGAGGATGTCAGCATTGATGGTTTTCAGAACCTCCAGGTTCTTTATATAAATCATTGTTCATTGTGTGGAAAAATACCTGATTGGCTATCAAAGCTACCGAATTTGGGGATGCTATTTTTGCAAGGCAATCAACTAACTGGACCGATACCTGAATGGATCAGCAGCCTAAATTTTCTCTTCTCTCTAGATATATCAAACAACAGCCTTACAGGGGAAATTCCAAGGGCCTTAATGGAGATGCCAATGCTAGAATCAGATAATACTGCACCAAAGGTATTCTTTGAGCTGCCTATTTGGAACAAGAACCAATTTCTGCAATACCTCACGCCCAGTGCTTTTCCTAAAGAGCTTAATCTAGCCATGAATAATTTCACTGGTATGATTCCGGTGGAGATCGGTAGGTTACAAGGACTATTTTCACTTAACTTGAGCTCCAACAGATTATCTGGAGAGATACCAGAACAGATCTGCAATCTCACGAACCTGCAGATGCTCGACTTGTCTGGTAATCATCTCACTGGTAAGATTCCAGCTGCATTGAACAATCTGCACTTCCTTTCCAGATTCAACATTTCTAATAATGACCTAGAAGGCCCTATTCCAAACATGGGCCAGTTCAGCACGTTTCCGGATTCTAGCTTTGGTGGAAACCCAAAACTGTGTGGCCCTATGGTTGCAAACCATTGTGATTCGGCAGAAGCAAGTCCAGTTTCCATTGACCCTATAAAACAGATTGGTAGTGAGGCCATCATCTTTATGACCTCCTTCGGTGTTTTCTTTGGAGTAGGAGTCCTATATGATCAGAAAGTCTTAGCTAGACATTTTGGCTGAAACCATGTAACCGTTATCACCGTTAACAAATGGTTAATATTTGTAAATATTGAGTATAGAATATAAGAACATTTGACTCTGCAGTCCAGTAAAGAAAATCTACAGGGAAAGCACACAAGAGGCGCTCCAATGATAACTTATCACAAAAAATGTCATTTTTCATCTCCTTTGTAGCCTCTCCTGCCTAAAGCTGATTCAGTAAGAATACTTTTCTTTAATGATAACCAGAAATAAATCTTGATTTTCAGAAGTACTCTAGCACTTATATTAGAGTCAGATGTTTAAATTGCCATGTGTAAAGAGCTAACCAGAAGCCTTGCAAATCAGACCAACTTTGTGTCTCTGTTGTTGTCAAGTACACCCCTGGTGCAGGCTGACTTCATTTCTTCCTACGTAAGTAGGGTGTCTCGCCCAAAAGCATCCTCTTGCACTGCTAAAGTAAATAAGTTAGACACAGACACCGTGGAACCACTAATTTCAGAGCAATCATGTACTGTTTCATGTCAGAATTATTTTTACTGATTCTCCCATGAGCTAACAGCATGCTGCATAAGAAAGCAAGTAGGCACCAAATTCTATTTTCAATTGCGAATATGCATCAAGAAGATCATGTGACAGCAGATGTACCATGATAAAAGAATGCAAATATATTCTAGGCATGACAGGTTGAAAAATGTCTAGCACAGGTAGCATAGGGGAAGGTATAAAAGGGTGCATCGGGAGATCAGACGATCCTTGAATTACATAGGAAGGCATTTATTTTTTTGCAAGAAACATAGGAAGGTGCTTATTCTAGTAGAAAGCCAATGGCGTTAAACTGGTTTGTCATTGTCAATGTTAATCACTTCCTAGTATTATCAGCTAAATATGTCAGCTATCTATGCACTTAATACTCTAAGGGCATAAAATTATAACCCCCAAGCGTGCAAGATCTGTTTTGCACAAACACGATCCCCCTAAATAGTAAGTACTTTTGGTTTGTGGACTCGAAAAACTCAATGCAACAATACGATAAGCGGGAAAAAACAATATTGTCAAACAATCCATATCCTACTTTCAGCATGGCCTGAATCATATATGATAGCATCATACTATTTGGTTGGCGTAAAAGCTGCGCCAGGAGCTGGTGGAAAATTCACCTTCCACTTGCATTATTCCATTTCGCAGTGTTAGTGTGAGAGACATTGATTCAACAGACTTGGCTCCTAGCAGCAGCAGCCGCAGGCCGCTGGCTCGTTGACCTCAGGTTGAAGTGCACTGCCACGGGTCAGAGCTTGATGATGGCGAGGAGGGCGAGTGGCGGTCGGCGGCGTTGGGGAGATCTGGCCGCTGGGCGACGTGAGACGCACCTGCGGGTGAGCCGCGGGCCGCAGCGACGGGGAGAGCCGCCGGTTGTACGCCGACGCGGCGGGGAGGTCAGCGGGGTCGAGGAACGCGGCTCCGGCGGCTGCCCGCCCTGCGGCGACAGATGCTAGGGCATCGCCGGGGGGAGAGAGATATGCAGCCGAGGCGCCAAAGGATGGCAACGCGGCCCAAGGAGCCTGGCCGCCTTCCACAAGAGCTTGGCCGCCGTGAAGGAGGCGACTACACCTGTCCTGCTCATGCGGTCATGCCCTCAAGGTGTTTGCGAGAATGTCGTCTCTGTTTGCAGAATGCACAGTATGCCGTGTCTGACACTTATTTGCAGAATGCAGAACACCATCATTTCATTCCATCGCAGATAAGATCAGTGCCAAGCTCGATAATGGATGGTCGCAATTGTATTAAGCATAGTCCACCTAGCTACATACTGAAAACAGCTTCAATCTTGCTGATCAGCATAGTCGACCTAGCTACACACTGAAAACAGCTTCAAGCTCCTTACTGATCAACGAGCATCGGAGCGACTAAGCTAGCTAACACTTTAGCGACCTTGTGCTTATAGAGGAAGGTTGGAATGGGCAGCTCGCTCGGATCCGGCGACATGATGAAGGTCGGCATAGGCAGCTCGCTCGGGTCCGGCGACACCATGAATGTCGGGCCAGCGAACAAGGATGCCTCCGAGTCCACCTCCATCTTAGCCAGAGCCTTTGGCTTCTTGTCGGGCCGGTCCATCAACGGAGCGAGGCCAGCGAAGGGTGATGCCTCCACCACGGTACGAGGTGTCGCCTTCTTCTCCGACGCCACAGGGCCAGCGAAGAGTGTCGCCACCGAGTCTGCCACCATCTCAGTCGTAGGCTCTGCCTTCTCCGAAAGGTCGATCGACGGAGAAGGGCAAGCGAAGGATGTCACCACCGAGTCTAGCTCCATCTCAGTCACAGGCTTTGTCTTCTTCCCGAACCGGCCGGCCGACGGGGCGGGGCCGGCGGAGATTGATGCCTGCGAAGCTGCCACCATCTCAGCCGGAGGCCTCGGCTTCTTGTCGCACCGGTCGACGGATGGCGCGCGGCTCGCCGGCCTCTTCCAGTTCTCTCTCGGCGTCTCCACGCGGCCGAGGCGCTCGACGCCGCCGTTCAAACTCTCGGCACGGCGGAGCGTCTTGTCAGTGGCCCAGCTGGAGCTCCGGGAAGCACGTCCGGGAAGGTCGATCTTGTCTCTGATCCAGCTTCTGCTCATCGAGGCACGTCCAGGCTGCTGCTTCTTGGTGTCCAGCTCCACACGAGCCGTGTACACCGCCGGAGGAGGCGTCAGGAGGAGGCAGCGCGCCGGGGTAGGCAACAGCGGCGGCAAGGTCGCAGCGACATGGCTAGCCATCTCTGCAAAACACAGGACACAGCAAAGAACAGAGAGACCAAGTGATTGCACAAGCGAAACAAGTAAACAGAACAATTGCGATGCTGAAATTCAGATGATGACCGGAGAAGAAAGAGGAAACTCGCCGGATTCTTTGCTCGCCGTCGGCGAGAGAAGCTCGCCGGGTTGTTAGGTCGCCAGGAGAACGTCGCGCGTGATCTATCGAGGGGACGGCTTGCTCGTCGGATCGAAGGAAAAGTGCGATCTATCCCCGCAGCCCGGCTGATATAGATCGACCCCCGATGCCCCGCCGCGTAGAAACCACGCAATCCGAGTTCGGCTCGTAACCGCCGCCAGCGCCGCCGCCCGTGGTCCAACCGCCGGAGCCACCAGCGACGCACTCATCCGATCTTTCCTCCTCTTCGTCGGTGGCCTGGGCATCCCGCGGTGGCGCGACTGCGCCTGCGCCTCCATTCCGCCGCCGCGTGCCATCCTGGCTCGGCATCGCGGCCGTCGTGGCCGCCGAGCTCTGTTACCCGCATGAGTCGCAGCTGTAAGAACCACGGTGAGGAGTCGCAGCAGCGACGAGATGCTGGCCGGGGTTGTTGCTTTCCTCCTGCGCTGATTGCTGCTCTTCCACGCTGCTCCATGGGTGGTCAGTTGTTGCGCTTGTCAAATGTTTGATGAAATGCTTGAGCAGGATGCCCGGTCCTTTCAATCAATTTGAGCAGAAGCAACTCCAGTAGTTCAATGTTAATAGAGCGAAGGGCGGATGCACATTCACGAGTTCACCATGTGTAATCACTAATTAATCTAGCATAATAGGACTAAAGTCTACACTGACAAATAAGCTGGCACCTTAAGCCACCTACGATTCTCAAACTGAACAATCGAAACTGCATTTCTCAGTTATTGTTGGTGTGCATTTGTTAATTCCATGATAGATGCATATGTAACTTGGCGGCTTCCATGTATTATAATCCACTGAAATTGTTTGAAATTTGTGACTGGTTGCTTTTCTGCTTCATTCTATAAAGTGGGGCAGGGGGACCCCTTTCATTAAAAAAAACTAAAATGGTTCGAAATGAAAAAGTCAATACAATGCTCATACAATTTGTTTATTTTTTGAAAATAAAATCCATTTGAAAAATAGATAATTCATGAGCTTATTATGTAAGTAGCTTTGAGATTCCATCTATAAATAATTCTATTTTAATTTGTAACCCATGTCTTACCCAATTCATGACTTGTATTATTATGGTTATAATGCTTTAACTCTTGCGGTGCCTTCCCAGGTGCCGCTGTCGACTATCGGGATCACTGCCAATCTCATCAAGGCTGAATTGTGCAACTACATCGGGGATTGCCATGACAGCACCTTCTCCTGGAAGGTTCGAGAGGTTTTTGCGGTTTTTGATTCTTCAACTACATCCAATTATCAGAGGTCTCCTGTTGGTTTTTGCGGCTTCCCTTCCGCTGTGATGGAGTCAAACTTGACAGATCTAGGGTAGGGGGTCCCAAGCTGGTAGCCTTAGGATGATGGTAATAGGGCAAGGGGGACACGATGTTTGCCCATATTCAGACCCTCTCGAAGATGTAAAACCCTACGACCTACTTTGTTTGTATTGATTATGGATGGGGTACAGAATACATGTTGATCCACCTCGAGATCGTGTATAAATGAGTTGGTTTTTCTCTACGGACTACACCCCTCTGTTTATATAGACGCCTGGGTACCTAGGATTACACATAGGTTGGTTACATTCGAAGATAAACACGTCAAAGATGCATTCATGCCTTGAAGTATGTGTCAAGTCTTCGGAAGATCTCATCTTGCACATAGGTCGGTTACATTCGAAGATAAACACGTCAAAGATGCATTCATGCCTTGAAGTATGTGTCAAGTCTTCGGAAGATTTCATCTTGCACATAGGTCGGTTACATCCGAAGATAAACACGTCGAAGATTGCATTCATGCCGTCTTGATTCCTCCATGGGGCCCAACGAATGTGGCCCACTGGTTGGTCATCTGGGGGTTCTCGACCCAACCAATGTCTCGGAGCCGACGTGGTTAACACCCCCCCATTCAGGATACCATCATTAGCCCTCGAACCAGTCTTCAAGCCGAGGACAATCCTCACAAAGGTTGTTGTTCATCTTAGGTCTTTGGCCTTGTAAATTGGTTCAATCATCTTCTTTGCGTGTTTGTCTCCAGAGTGACCAGAATCTTGTCCGAGGAGCCCCAACTAAGCTTCCAAGTTTTTTTCTTTTCGCCGGATCCGAAGACC